GAGAATTTACTTCTTAAATTAGTCTCGTTTGTATTTCTCTTGTAGAAAAGCATAGACTCATTTTCAGATTTGTTATTAGCACATTTAAACTGAGATTTTTCATGTGAAAACATGCCCAATTCACAATGTGACCAATGCAGATGAAATATATCTCCTGTCTGAACTAGTCTCAAAATAATGCAGTTGTCTGACAACATTGATTACCCAATTGATTCCTGGTAACCTTCAAAAATGACAGTTTTCTATGCAGATCAGAAGTTGACCCATATCTGTTGCAGTTCAAACAAATGTAGCCAGTAATAAAAAAAAAATTGTACTTGTATTACTTGATCACACAATTTAATTACATGACACCCAGTTGTATTCAAATAGCTTAGTACTTGCAAGTCCCAGTTGCTTGAAAACAAACTTATGATTGATTATTAATTATAATGTAGTATACTAGTACAGTAGAACCTTTCCTAATGAACCAAACCTTCTGCCAAAAACTTATGGTCTTTAAGACAGTTGGTATCATAACAGGCCAGAATACTATATAACTAATAAATCTAGGTATTAAGAATATGGTCTCTCAAGACAGATGATCTCTTATAGCACTGGTCTTTCAGGAAAGGTTTTTTTTTTGTATTAAGAGCAGATATTAAATTGTAAGGAATTTATTTTGTGGCTTTAAGTTAACATTATTTAATATTATATCAGATAAAATTCAGCTGAGTTAGCACATTGAAAGTAGCATGCTTTGTACTTGGATAAATATATTTCTGCCAGCCTTTTACAGATGCTTATTATCAAGGTATTCCACAGAACACTATCTGTCAATTAGCAAATCTAGGGGAATACAGTAGGTCTGGGGTATAAACTTCAAAGAAACTTTGATACTTTTGCTCACCTGCAGGAAACTTTGCTTGGTGGAAGCCCTAAAATTGCCTTTATTTATCTCCTATGATATCCAGATAATTTAAAGTACTACTGTTTACTTTTTGATTACATCCAGCTGTACATGCATTTTGCATCGTAAATGAATTTTTTATTACATTAACTGTATGTGGATACTATGGAATTAACAGTAATTTTCTCATTGCTGCCAAAAATATATCATTGATGTAATAATTTAAGTAAATTGAAAATAAATCAAAAATCAAGAAAACCTACACAAAAAATGAACATGCTTTTAAAAAAAGCTTTTAAAAAAATAATAATAAATCTTGGACAATAAGTTCATTACTCAGGTAAACCAAACAAGGCACATACAAAACAGACAAATGTCGACTGAAACAACATACCAATGAAATGCAATACATGAAATAAACAAACACAGGCTAATTATGCTAATGTAAAATGTTATGTGCTAAAAACAGAAATGTCAATAAAAAAAGCCCCCATACATATACAAACCCATGTACAAACATTACTGAGAAATGAATGAAACATGGTAGTCAATTGATCAAATGTGGTTTGTTTCTGTATATATTTGTCTGTTTTGTCTGTATATATGTTTTGTTTGTGCCTCATTTACTGTTTATTTGATTTGAAGTTTGCTTGTTTCTTCATATTTTCTTTGTCTTGGTTGAAATATGTTTTGTTTGTGTATCCCTTGTTTTATTTGAATATTGATCTTAAATATTATTATTTTACAAGCATGTTGGTTTCATTGTAGCTTTTCTTGGTTTAAATTAAAGTTGCTTATATTATCTCAGTGCTATGTTTTTGGTGGTGATGGTTTTCCATACCCTTGTTGATGATACACCAGAATAAATATTCTTTTTGGAATTATAAGAACACTTTGCTTTGGAAAACTAATTAGTACATAACATATGCAAAGCAATCAAATGATCAGGTAATGATTAGGTAAAGAAATTTGTTTATATAAGTAAATGGGTGAAAAACTTTAAAACAAGTATGAAGGTAATATAAAAAATCATGTTGGTTAAACAGTAGCAATAAAAAGCTAATTAGGGGTTAGAATGTAGTGTTTCTGCTGAATGTATTTCACTGTGGGTGCAATAAAACTCTACTACAAGATTATTTTTTTTTAAAAACCTGTTATTTTTTACCTTCAATAAAACACCTTAACTATAATTTTTAAGTTTTTTTTAATGAGAAGCTTTTCTTTCAGTTTAATTTTAAATTCTTTCACAGGAAAATGCTGCAGGATGAATTGTTTGGGATTTTTTGTTTACGAATATATAAGTTTATTTACACATATTAATGTTATGTGTTTTAAAATGGAAATGAACAGACATAAGGTATATACTTGCTTATCAACCTAGTCCAGCTGCAAGCTGCACAGAATCCAATTAGGAATTACCAACAGAGCTGGGTCCATGCAGTGGTAATCAGTAGTACAAACAGCATGGACCCTGATCTGATGGCACTTAATGTGATGGCAGATCAGGGTCAGTTTATTTTGAAATATATATATATATATATATATATATATATATATATATATATATATATATATATATATATATATATATTCACATAATGTTGAAGAATTTTTTCCATATTTGGACACTGGTGAATGAAATATTTTGGAATGCAAAGAGATACTACAGCACCTTGAAATGTGTGGTTGTATGGTGGCCATTGTACTTTGTAGGTAATGGCCACAGTAAAGGGCTATATTGTTATCAATATAGCACTGCAAATACAAGCAACAATTTAAAATTTCTGAAAGTATCTTAAATTAGAGGCTTTTCATCATTATAGAATGATGCCAATCCACCATAAAAATAGGGCTATTGCTAATTGTAGTTTAAACAGAATTTGACCAGCTTTGATGGAATGTGTCCAGGCATAAAGACCTTTCCAATACTAGACCAATAATGGGGATTAACCCTAACCCAAAGGAACTTTACTGAACATTACCATCTCACCTCTGTTCTTGTGGGTAGTCTTGAGGCCTATCAATGTGGATATGTGAAAAAGCTTGTCAGAAACTTCCATTGGGCTGTTGTTGATTCCCAGAATGTTCCTGGATTCTTCCTCCACCAGATAAACTGTGTTGAAAAATGTTGTTAAACCAACAGCAACAATATCAACCAATAATGTTAATGTGTTGTCAAGAAAAAGAATCTCTACAAACTTTATAACAGTTATTTTCATTAAATAAGTATTAATGCAGTTAGCAGCATTAGAAGAAATTTCAATTCTTTTGCAATTTTCCAATTAGGTTCAAATCAACCAGGTGAGCCATATTAGGGAACCTGGAGTCTTAGGGCTCTTGTTTATTGTTCAAATGCATCACAGGAGCCATAAATGTGCAAATTGGATTAAAAGGAACTTGAAAAGAACTGGAAGAAAGCATAGAACTTATTGTGCCTGTACAAAATTTTTCATATGGACTGGATATGGAATCCATATGTACTTTTACAGAAATATCCATGTGGAAATGTTATGGATTCCTTATGTACTCCATATGAATATGCAAATTAGTCCATGAGATCTGTAGGTTTCCATATGGAATAAAAATTAAAATTCCATATGGAATTTGGCAATAATCCATATGGAATTTGTGAATAATCCATATGGAATTTGGCAATAGTTCATTTGGAATTTGGTAATAGTCCATCCCGTATGAAATTTTCCAGGCAGACCTAAGATGGATTTCAGACAGGTTTCTTAAGCGTTTGATCATTCTGTTCATATTTTACTGAAGTTTCATAGTTTTTCAGACATTTCAAGAGGTTTCAAACAAATAAAAGATTCAAATTAAACAGGACTTTATTAACCAAGGTGATATTTCAAAAAATATGAAAAAAATATAAATTATTTAAAAAAAATGTAATTAATTGACATCCAAGGCATGGGAGTTAATAAACTAATAATAAAGACTTTATTTAGAGAAGGTAACTCAAGTACAGAACTAATCTACCTTGAGGCCTTATGTCTGTTATGTACAGTATATATAGTATATACAACATATGAAGAATCGGGCTTGAGACTATATAATGGATTTTAAAAATCAAAGTACCAAGCCTAGAACATAAGCACAGGCATCTGTGAACGTATCAACATATAAATTATTATCCTGCATTAAACAATTCAACTGTGAAAAAGATGCAAAATTACAGAGAAGCATCCATTTAAGACATTAATTATGAAATGAATAAATGTTAGCAGTTTACCTTATGTCACTGTTGTACCTCAGGCTTGTTTTTTGATTAATGTACAAACACTGATGCTGTTGTGGTCTCTTGAATTAGTTCTTGTTCCATAAACAAACATTTATCATGGTATAATTACTCTTGTTTTATAGTGAATTCTAACACACCTAGAATGCTTTGATGATATACACAATAATACTGACAATTTCTACCAGTGATCTATACCTTGTCTCTGTTTAAATTCTGTAAGTTAATCAGTTTGGAATTACGTAACTTCAAAAACAACCTGGTTCAATTCCTTGTCATATTTAGAACATACCTGTAAAGCTCTTTATGGCACAAAAAACAAAATGCTAGTCCTGGTGTTTAATTTTTTTATACAGACTGACCAACTATGTCCCATCGACTTTGCATTAAAATTATTCTCACTGCAGAAGCCGAAGTTTTAAAATGGTTATTCAATCTCATATCTGCTCAAAAATTTGAATCACCATGCTAAGCAAGCATGCTCATTCCCATCAGTTTCTGTTACGAAATGATTCATTGTCATTGGGCAAGTAAAATTTTTGACCAGTCAGAAAGCTTTTTACAGCTATCATCTATTAAATAACAAAAACAGAACAAATACTTAGAAAGCATGTTGTGGAATGGGACCAGATAGATGTGATGTGATTATGATTTTTAACAATTTTTCAGTCATATCCTGTGATGTCTGCAATGTGGCAGTTTATAGTGATGTCTAGCACTGGGGCATCATGCTGCAGACATGTAGCATGATGTCCTACCCAATCATATTATCCTGACACCAGGCCAACCAGAGCTAACACTAACATTTTAATGCTGAGTGTCAAGCAAGGCAGCTGTTAGTACCATTTTTATAAGTCTTTGGTATGACTCAACAGGGATCGAACCCACGACCTCCAACATCTGAGGTGGACACTCTAACCACTAGGCCACTGGAGCAGATGGATCAGCAAGAACATTATTGCATTAAAAAATTTCGGAGATGATATTAAAAAAGGGTCAATATAAATGAAAATCAGATTTAAGTTATGAAAAAGGGAAATTTTAATTTAAAACAGAAAACAAGAAACTTGTTTGAGGGCAGTTAAATCCAACTGAAGTTAAACAGAAATACAACAATAATTGTGAAAAAGAAATATAACAAGGAAATATGAGGAAATAAGTTATTGTTTCCAAAATGAACAAAAAAAATACAGCAATCAGAAACAGAAAATACAAATGTTGCTGAAAATCATTAAGATAAATTTTATTATATCTTATGGATATTTTTTATTGAAAGTCAGTGATATTACAATCACAAAATATCACTATATTTTCAGAAATTTTGACAAACTCTAAGTGAAATTTTAATGACAAATTCTTGCATATTTTCAGAAATGTTGGCAGTCAGTGACATTTCAATCACAAAATTTCACTGATATTTTCAGAATTTTTGGTTAAAATCACCTAAAATATCAATTTTAGTGGAAAAAGACATTTGAGAGAATAAAATAAAAAATTTTTCACTGAATTTGATGAAATTTCAGTCACATTTTCAGCTCAGACATTAAGTATCAACAGATAATTAGTGGTTTATTAAGTGTATAAGAATTTGTTATACCAGATATTAATATTTTGATCAATTTTACATTTTCTCTACTCTTTTGGTCATATCTGCTTGTTTTTAAACATCAGTGGAAATAAATTAAAGAAAACAGACATGTGTTTTATTCAAATATATACCAGTATATATCCATCATTCCACATCAGCAACACTGACATATACATGTACTCTAATTCCAATCAATATTTATATTTGAATCAGTAAATTAATTCTTCAGAGAATATTTTCCATGATTCTATAATGAGCCTGCATTCCATATGGAGAAAAGTGCTTATGGATTAAAGTTGCAACTTTATTCCATATGGAATTTTCACTTGCTGTGAGGTAATAATGGAATTAATATGGAATGAATTGTCTGATTCCATAAGTTTTTCAGTCCATATCTCTTCCATATGGATTCCTGAAGTATTCCATATGGAATCCATGAGAAATTTCTATATGGTTTACTTTGTTTCTAGCAGTATGAAAGTGTTTCAGATCACAAAGTTGTGACCAGCTGGGAAGAAAATGTGATTTAGGATCAAGTTTGAAATTAGGAAGAAAGGCATTCATGCAGAAGACAGGGTTTGTTGATGACACATTACTTTGGAATGTGAATTGGTGTAACATATTGTAGGGTTCTCATGGTTTTATATGAATGTGTAGTATCATTCCAGCCAAACACCAGGGACTACAGTACAGATACCAGTATGAAAACCTTACAGGTTATATAAACAGTAGGATATTTGGATATCTGGGAGTGGATATCAATCATTTAAAGCTGAGTTAATAATACCAGGAAGACAGTTCCTGGGAAATCTGAACATTTGTTTTTACTACCTCCAGGTCAACAAAGGGACTGCAGCAGTTGCTAAACAGAACCAATTACCACAACATGGATTATAAGGAATATTAAAATATTAATTGCTGAGACAGAATGTATTTGACAGTCTGTATTATTTCAGTTCAAAATTATTGTTTTCATTTTTTTTTTTAGTCTTAATGGCACTTTTAACACATTGGCTAAATCATTTAAAGGAAATTGTATCTAATTGCCTTTCCAAAGAACACAGACTGACATAGGTGGATATTGTACCTGCACCCCTTGGTTTATGAGTCCAGTACTCTTCCAAAAGAGTTATAATTGACCCCTTAAAAATGTAGAGCCAAAAATTAAGAATAAATGTCTGTTCAGAAGTAAATGATTCTGTATGGCAAGTAGCATAATGTGCTGGCAGATCAGGGTCTGTGTTGGTTGTTCTTCTGATTTATCCTGACAAATTGAGTCCAAGGGTGGCTGAGTAGTCCATCTCTTTTCATAGTGGTTCATGTCAAAACTCAACCAAGGAGGGTATAAGAGAAAACCTGATATTAACCTAAAGTGGGGCAGTGGTTTATGTATAGCCTATCATGTGCTGGAAAATGGCATTAAACCTTACAGACTAAACCAAGCCAAACCTTGCAAACTGCATAGACCCTGATCTGCCAGCGCATTTTGCAGTGGCAAATCTGGGCTGTGCAGTTAATATATGTGAATCTCCTACACTTGAGGGCTTTTTTCCCAAGTTAAGTGGTGTCTTCTTCCCTCCCATCACTCACTGTAATCTCCCATATATGCAAAATTATTAGTGAAAATTTTTTTTTTCTTGATATTTTCATATTCAGATTCCCTTGTAGTAAAGATATTTATGGTAATACTGCCTGTGATCATGTGACTATGAACTAGCTTAAGCAGGGCAAGACCATGTAGTTTCTAATTTCACCTGTTGAACCTGTTAGCATGGTCAGCTGACTTCATTGTTTGAAGTTTGTGGAGGTTGATTACCCTGTGTACGGCAGAAGTAATTTGGAAATGAATAAAAAGCATTTCTGTAATTGATTATGGTTGGACAACTAAAGAGCCTAATTAGCATAATAGAATAAACATTACTTTGAATCTCTCTGCTCTGCTTCTGTGCTTGAAATCATCGGCAAGGTGGATTAAAGTCTATACCAGGTAGGATCAAAAGTCTTTTGGACAGGATTAAAGATGTAAATTGTTTATGATTTGATTAGAACAAAGGTGTTGGCAGATTAGGTTTAAAGTCTCAAAGGGTGTGATGGTATAATGCATGTGTTTGTGCTTCATGTAAAGAATCTTACGGACATTGAAACAACATTAGACCCATTCAGTACAGTACCTATCTTGAGTAGTTGCATGCAGTCGGCATTCTGAATCTAATCACATGTGTCGAAAAAAAATTAAAATTCTTGGTGGAATTAGTAGAGCTGTACTGAATACTTGTAATGACTAGTTGTAATGTACTAATTTTGTAAACTTTTTGACACAAGTAGAGAAGGATATTAGATTAGCCCAATGATGTAAGTACATTCCAATACAGACGATAAAAACAAGAACATTGTCCATTCAGAGTAAAATTCAGATGACTCTAGAATCAGCTGATAAGGTGATGTGTTTTGTTTGATACTTTAAAAAAATTAATTTGTTTAGTATATCTAATTTTTGTCTGTTTGTATGCAAAAACTTGTATCAATGATAATCCTTTATTTAAATGTAAAACTGACTAAATTTTGTAAATCTCCTGATCTGTCATGACCTGATCTGCATTTTCTATCACATGTGCAGCAATTTGCAGTTGGACATGACTTCTGAACAAATATACATGTATACAGTATTCAGTGTTAATACAGCATATCATCTTAAACCCTTTATCACATAATTTGTGTGATTGGGTGCATCGTAATGTACTAAATGCAATTATGTAATTGTGTAAACTTCTTGACCCAAGTAGAGAAGGATATTATGTAATTGTGTCAACTTTTTTACACAAGTAAATAAGGATAATATGTAATTGTGTCAACTTTTTGACACAAGTAAAGAAGGATATTGGATTAGCCCAATGATTTAATTTTTTGTTTATGTTCTCATGTGTTATCATTTGATATGGCTATCATAGCTTAAATTTGGCAAGAAAAACACTGCATTTATTCAAAAGTTAGATGGTATTTGTTAATTTGTTAAAATTAATTAAATTCAGAGCTTCTTAAATTGCTTATATGGCATATAGATATAGGTCATAATAGAAAAATTGGCACAAAATATTGTGAGGCAAAAATGTTGTTTCTGGTTAGATGACTGTTCCTGTTTCTCATTTCCACCCTGGTACTTCACCCTGCATGATTAAAAAAAATAATCTATCAACCCTAATTTTGATGTGATGTGATTATGATTTTTAACAGTAGCTTAAAAAAATTTCATTCATATCACTACAATGTCTGAAGTGTGGCAGTTTATAGTGATGTATAGCACTGGGGCATCATGCTGCAGACATGTAGCATGATGTCCCACCCAGTCACATTATCCTGACACCAAGCTGACCAGTGCTAAGACTCACCTCTTAATGCTGAGCGTCAAGCAAGGAAGCTGTTAGTACCATTTTTAGAAGTCTTTGGTATGACTCAAGGGGGATCCATCTTATGACCTCCAACATCCGAGGCAGACGCTCTAACCACTAGGCCACCAGATGGGTTCCCTAATTTTAAAACTAGTACAATAGGAAGAAAATTTTTTTGCCTAATATATATCATATTATTACTGCTGTATCAGGATATGTATCATGTCATTACTACTGTATCAGTTTATGTATCATGTCATTACTACTGTATCAGTTTATGAGTCATGTCATTACTACTGTATCAGTTTATGTATTATGTCATTACTACTGTATCAGTCTATGTATCATGTCATTACTACTGTATCAGTTTATGTATCATGTCATTTCTACTGTATCAATCTATGTATCATGTCATTACTACTGTATCAGTTTATGTATTATGTCATTACTACTGTATCAGTTTATGTATTATGTCATTACTACTGTATCAGGATATGTATTGTATCATTAACTGTATCAGGATATGTATCATATCCCTACCATGACTGGGTAGACATAGTGGCCAGTATATTTGGTAGAAGAAGAATCTGGGAAAGTCCTGCAAATAACAATCACCTTAATTAGCAATTTCTCACATACTCAAATGAGCCCATTTGAGACTCAACCCATGCAGACAGGTGAGTTATCAGTGATCCTTAAGTAGTGCCTTGGACCAATCAGCCCCGAGTGGCCCAGTGGTCTAAAACATCTCCCTTAGGATCATTGCCATCTCACCTCTGTCTGCAGGTTCAAGTCTAGGATTTGCTGAATGTGGATATGTGAGAAAGCTTGCCACTAGCTTCTCTGGTTTGGTTATTCTTTCCATGTATTTCCCATTTTCTTCCTCCACCATTAATACTAGCCTATCAGCCTATCATGTGCTAAGAAATGGCCTTAAGCCCCACAACAACAACAACAACCAA